CTGAGTGTCTGTCATTAGCGTTGTGAAAAAGCACTCATGCTTGGTGCCATGGGCAAATAAGCTTCAACGGATCAGATCTGTAATTTATGCCTTGGTCTCAATACAATAAATTGTATAGTAGAGCTATCACTAACGATTGCCACTCAAATTAACTTAAAGATCGAGCAAGTTAACTTTTAAAGTTTTGCCTATCTCTACCCTTTTCGTCTACTTTCTTGGTAACTCTACCATTTTTGTGATATGATTTCTTCTGGTTTAAAGGTTGTCGATGCTATGATGATAGCAAAGTGGAGTGCAAAAATACGTCTTCAAGACGCCCTACAGGTTATCGACGAATAGTAGACGACGATGCAAACTGTTTGACGGCTGTGCTATGAGTTAACAATCTAGGAAGTTAAAGGAGGATGCTTAGAGGCTCTGTCACTGCAGCACTTCAGGACTACCTGACCTGAGGGCCATGCCAATGGCTCCTTCAGCTTCCGTGCGTCCTTTCGTACTCGGAAGCACTTGAGGGTGTTGCAGAAGATTTTATACGAGTTTAGAGCGATGGGGTCGGAAATCACTAAGAATCTCATATTTCCTTAAAATTCAAATCAATTATAATTATTTACTAACGAATTACTTCATATGACCACTTTTTATTACATGTCGTACAATTACGTAGGTCATGCAAAAACAGGAATTCCTTCTTATCCGTTAGCAAATTTAAATTGCGTAACTTAGGTTGTTGCTTATCCTTTGCAAGTGGATGCTTACATGCAACAATCGTCAAAAGGGGAGGTTGCACGATGGTGGGTTTAAAAGGTGGCTCTTCACCAAACTAAGAGTTCCTGGATCAATTTAATTGTTTCTCTAGAATTAAGGTAATTTGGGTTGACTTACGGAGAGACATTATGTGTTCACATTTTCATCTTCCTTAAGGAACGCTTGCATAAAAAGACCATTTACAAGCCTTCGCAAAGGGCGAACCTTCATTAGGATTGTTTTGCACTTAAAGCATTTAAAATGACTTCTTTGGTGCTGGTGATCAGAACAAACTATTTAGAGAGACTAGACCTGCGTGACGAGAAATCAAGAGAGAAAACTGAGACTGAATTACACCTTGAGAAAAATTTCCTGCTGTAAAGATTACGACAGACATTTTTATTCACAGCTTCGTCTACTTTCCAGGAGTGCTTATATAGGTGAAATGTAAGCACACTCGTTAATGACGCATTTGTAAATGTGCCTTGAGTAATTCTTTAAGCTCCATTGCATTTTTTGTAGATAGCTGAAAATGAATGCTTCCAGTGAAATGGAACATTTCAGGGAAGACTATCTTCTTTTTGAAATAACTCGGAGGGGATGTGATGACAAATATTTAGAGAATGATCCCTACAGTCAGATATTCAAAATTTACAACATCCTCGTCCTTGCCCTTGCTCCACTCAATGTTCTGCTGAACGGCCTTTCTCTAAGGATATTTGAGCATCGCCTATGGAAGAACAGTTCTTTGAGTGCAATCCTCAAGAGTCTTTCTGTCTTTGAGATCTGTTTTGGGTGCAGTCTTTTCTTTCATACCATCACAAGCAAAAGTCTCGAACTTTATATTAATAAGGAAGGTCAAATTGTGGGCAATCTTACCGATCGTCGGAGCCAGCACCATGTCCGACTTATGGCCGCACTTATTGTTATACATCAAGGGCTCAGTGGTTTCCTGTTTGCCTTTCAGCTTAGCAGAAACTGGTCTGTAGTACTTCTAGCGGCATATAGATACGAAGCCATTTGTCGCAAACTGGGCACCGTATCCTCCTTTCCTAGAGAGAGGATTCCCTTAATCATGATAATCACTCTGATTTCAGCGGGTCTTTTCGCCCTCCCACGCATGTTCGAGGTAAAATCCTACATTTGTGTTCCAACAGCAATTATATATCAGGAAGAACCGTTGCTCGCACGAAGCATAATCTACCAACTTATCTACCTTGGAATTGGTACATTTATTGTTCAGTCCGGGGGACCTGTACTTTGTGTATGCGTACTAAGCTCTTTCGTCATCCGCAAAATAGCAATTCGGCGTCGGTTTCGTCGACAGAACCAGCGAACAGTGTTGGTCACTTCTAACAAGGATGATCCCAGTTCAGGCGTGGAAACTCTAGCAGCCACGAAAACCGTTGAAAGAAACCAACCCTCTGGTGATAAACTAATGCTTGCACTGTGCTTCACCTTTTTTATCCTGGAAACACCTGCGTTCTTCAGCAAAATTCTAAGTTCCTACACCTCTAAATATCACCCCACCGTTGACGTGTACATGTCTGTGATCGCAAATCTCCTTATATACCTTGATTCAACTTTTAACGCTTTCGTCTACATGGGCTCTAACCCAACATTTAGACAAGTTGCAAAGCTGATGTTTGGAAGGAAGGAGAAAAGTAAACAGTCAAAGCCAAGCAAAAGTCGAAGTAAGTCATTCATGCGGTAATGGATTTATTGTTCCCAATTTCATGCACACAGACTAAAACGTCTGAGTCACTGGAGTGTAACTAACCTGCTTTGAATACAATCTTGCTGCTTCTTAGGGTTATCAGCATTTGAATGTAAACACAATCATTTCCATAGTGAAATTTAAGTCCCTTTTCTACCGTTAATAGCTTCTGACTCTAAGCAGAGAGATTTATGGGGTATGGTGTAGATAAATGAAGATTTTGCCAGGTTGAAATATTCTTCTTTTGTAGTTATGCTTTCCCATGGAAACGCATTTTTTTAAAACGCAAATTACATTTGTTTTAGGTTCTGACTCCTGAAGCAAAGTAATGCATTAAAACCCGACCATGCAAGCGTTCGCAAGTCTGCCCACAGACACTGAAGGACCCATTAAACTGGAACCCCCTCCCACTTCACCATCCTTTTCACTCTAAATGATCCCAGTTGACGAGCCTACCTGTCTTTTTTGTATTTGCTTACGGAACGCCACAATGGAATGTCGATAATTTTTCTAATATTTTTTTTCAAAAAAACAATTTTTTAAAACTTTGGAAGGTAGCGTAACTACACGAATCAGTGTTTGATCAAAAAGAAAAGAATGGGGCAAAATCGTTTCTCTAAAGCTGTGATTTGTCCAGTGCCCCAAG